GTTACTGAGCCTTTTTCCCGGCAGCCACGATCAGGTTCCAGTAGGGAAATTCTCTGTTGTTTGCTGGGAAAGAGGGGAAGAAATAGTTTTCCTTTCAATTTCAGTCTGAGAAGCGATTGTTTACTTGATAGAATGAAGTTTTATTTGTTAGAGGATTACCTCTGCTGCTACCATAACTAACAAGATTAGAATAATGAGTGTACAGTTCAATGCTTTTTTTTCATTATTTTAAATCTGCCTTTTTTTTTTTCTTCTAGCATTGAGTGCATCGGGCCATGATTAATTTATATTGCTTGTAGAGACCGGTAGAGTGAGATATGAAAGAAAACTTTGAAGAATTTCCAAGGGTTTTCAAAGAATGTCTTCTTAGGCAACAAGAGCTGAGCAAGGCTGAGAAAAAAGTATGTACCAATTAGGGCTAGGTGAGAATTTTGCCTTACTGTATGTGGCACCCTTTAAGGGCCAGTTCACACTACATGCGTTTCAGCTGCTTTTTTTCTGCATCCAAAACGCACAGAAAGTAGGTTATATGGTTGTCAATGTCATAGTTCACATCAGTGCTTGCAGTTCCAGTGCGTTCCGGTTGCAGAAAAAAAAAGTAGAACATGCTGCATTTTTCCTGCACTGAACTGCACTGGAATGCGGTAAAACGCTGGAACGCGCATGTCCCTATTTAAATTGAAGAAACAGAGAAGGGAAAATGAGCTGTAATGCATAAAAAACATACTGGAACACGTCAAAAACGCATCAAAAACGCACCGGAATGCACCAAAATGCAAAAAAGCATTCAGAACGCACCTGGGCTTCATTTCTACAGTGTGAACTGGCTTTTAATGTGATATGAGCTAAGTTGTAAGTTGTGCCTGGAGTTTGCATGTTCTTCCTGTGCCTGCGTGGTTTCCTCCGGGTACTCCGGTTTCCTCCCACACTCTAAAGACATGTTGGTAGGTTAATTGGCTCCTGTCTAAATTGGCCCTAATATGTGTATGAATGTGAGTTAGGGACCTTAGATTGTACACCCCTTGAGGGTTAGGGACTGATGTGAATGTACAATATATATGTAAAGTGCTGCGTAAATTGACGGCGCTATATAAGTACCTGAAATAAATAAATAAATACGTTGTAGATTCTGCCATTGAGCTCCCCGGACAATGCATACATTTTAGGTGATAAATGGCTTGAATTATGGTCGATTCCTGTGAATTGGCCACAATTTGAGCCATGGGTTGCCCTGCTGAAACCACCAAGCTCAACAAATTTGTAATGCTTTGCTTACCCCACCCCCAAAGTAATTTGCAACAATTAACAGATACTCTAAAGTACACGTAAACCCCCACCTTGTAAAACAATCCATTCAGGTTAAAATAGAAATGAAAGGCAAAAAATTTGTGTATAGATATAAAAAAAACATTGTAAACATTTGTTGATCACATACCCTCTGTTCTCAGCTGCATAAGAGCTGGGGGAGAAGAAACAGCAGATCACTGATCTTCCCAGTGAATGCCTTGCTGGGGGGGGGGGGGGATCTGGTCAAATCTGATCATTGGAGGAGAGCAGGCTGAGTTCCCAACACAGCACAGGTAGAGAACTGACCACACTGTGCTCTCATGCCTTGTATGGCCAGTGTATAAATGGAAAGCAGAGGGACTGGCAGGAACACCATGGGCTTCATACAAATAAAACAATGCAAAGAGAACAGGATACTTTTTCATACAAGCACATGGTACAGCAGGCACATATCAGGACAATTGAATGTTAGGTTTCCATATTCTTTAATCATTATCACATATAATTAATCTAAACTCAAGAGTAAATGTTAATACAGTATATTGCAGCTTGCCAGTCCCTAAATGAGGTGGCTGCATTAGCTTTAGTTTTTTTTCCAGGCTTTTTTATCTTTGTTTTCATGTGGCGGTCAAACTTCCTAGAGTGACAAGTATGTTAAGACTACAGAACATCTCCCCTTCTCCTTATCTTCATAACATAGCTGGGACGTGGTCTGTAGTTTACCAAATGTGTACAGTAAAGTATATACTTAACGTTTAAGTACAAAGTTATCTTAACACTCAACTCTACCAACTAAACCTTAATATTGTAGCCACCCTGTTACTTTGCAAAGTGACATTGTCTGTAAAATGGGAAAAGCACCCCTGCCCCACAATCCACTTCTATTCACATATCCATCGATCCCCCACTGCTTCCTCCTCCGTCACGTAAACTCCTCCCATGATGCAGAGCTCAGGACAATTACTAGACCCAAACTCTCATGTTATGTAGAGAGGGTGATGTCATCTCTCTAGGCTCCTACACGTCATCTCTCTAGGCTCTGACACGTCATCTCTGTAGGCTCCGACACGTCATCTCTCTAGGCTCTGACACCTCATCTCTCTAGGCTCTGACACATCATCTCTGTAGGCTCCGACACGTCATCTCTCTAGGCTCTGACACGTCATCTCTCTAGGCTCCGACACACCTCATCTCTCTAGGCTCTGACACCTCATCTCTCTAGGCTCCAACAGGTCATCTCTGTAGGCTCTGACACGTCATCTCTCTAGGCTCCGACACGTCATCTCTCTAGGCTCCGACACACCTCATCTCTCTAGGCTCCGACACTTCATCTCTCTAGGCTCCAACAGGTCATCTCTCTAGGCTCCGACATGTCATCTCTCTAGGCTCCGACACGTCATCTCTCTAGGCTCCGACGCGTCATCTCTCTAGGCTCCGACACACCTCATCTCTCTAGGCTCCGACACCTCATCTCTCTAGGCTCCGACACGTCATCTCTCTAGGCTCCGACACGTCATCTCTCTAAGCTCCGACACATCATCTCTCTAGGCTCCGACACCAGGTGTTTTGATTGGGACTTTGGCAGAGGAAGTAGCAGTGTGGGAACATTAAAGAGGTAAGTATCAGTGGGTTGGGTCAACCTTTACACAGACAAGATCACTATGACAGCAATGAGAAAAGTGGCAATGTCCCTTTAACCACTTCAAGTCCGGACTCTTTCACCCCCTTCCTGTCCAGGCCAATTTTCAGCTTTCAGCGCTATCACACTTTGAATGACAATTGCGCGGTCATGCAACACTGTACCCATATGAATTTTTTAGCATTTTTTTGAGACAGATAAAACTTTATTTTGGTGGTATTTATTCACCACTAGGATTTTTATTCTTGTTCTATATAAATTAAAAAGTCTTAAAATTTTGAAAAAAAATGTGTTTTTCTTATCAAATGTTCTTATAAAATTTTGCAAATAAATAATCTTTCTTCATAAATCTTGGCCAAAATGTATTCATCTATCTTTTCAGTAAAAAAAATAACCAAATTAGTTTATAACCAAAAATTATAATTTTTAAAAAAAAAAATGTAAAAAAAAAAATTATTTTTTTTTTTTATATTATTATTTATGTTTTTTTTTAACATACCATCACCCTAACAATACAGTGTCCCCATAGTGACACTGTACTACTTGTGGGGGTGATGAAGATTTTTTTTTTCTTGTTTTACACTGATTGCATTTGCATCCATAAAGGCTGTAAAAGCAATAATTTCTCCTTCTTTCTGGCTGCATTCCTGCAGCCATTGAGAAATACTGTGAGAGCTGTGATTGGTCACAGCTTGTCACATGGTACAAGGCTGTTGTGAATAGCCTTGTACCATGTGACCTCTGTGATCATTCACAGATTTCACACGTAGTAAGCAATGATGTCAGAAGTGACATCTGGCTTACTACTCTTCATGTGATCACTGATTGGCTAGTCAGTGCTCAGATGAATGTGAACCTCACACAGAGGTCCCATATAGCGATCTGTGTTCTGCTGTATCCAGAGGACACAGTGGGCACTGATAGCTCCCAGGGAGCGCGCACAGACAATGGATGCAGGGGGACGTTTAGAAATGTCCACCCGCATCGGCAGCGCTCCTGTCCGGCCATTTATCGGCATGGGCTGGACAGGAATAGGTTAACCTTCTAAAACTTAACCTAACTTTTAAAATGAACCCTGAACACCTAAAGCAGAACTACATTGTATCTGAGCACCACAAACCAAAAGCGCTGTTTAATTTATTTTTCATATTCAAAGCAATCTCACCCATCTATCATCATCTCCACGCTTTACTTTGCTGAGACAACACCCCCTAGCTTTTCTTGTCGTGGCCATCTTGAGTAAGGGCAGTTGATTCATGTTTCATTTACTCCCTGGAATCCATTTGCCCTTGGCTCAGGCATACAGGCAGGAGGGTGTGCTTAACAGAGAAAACCCCCTCCTCCCCTCCTGAGGACTCCTGGGATGTATGACATCATTTACTTAGGCCTTGAAACTAGGAAGTAACTAAAGAAATGTATAAAACAGTTTTAAAAGAGTTGAATAGAACAGGGGCGGACTGACAACTCATGGGGCCCCTGGGCAATAGGGGATCATGGGGTCCCTGTGTCCTTGCCCAAACTCAAAAAAGCCTATGAAAAAGGTACCAGGGGAATCTCATGGGGCCCCCTACTGACCCTGGGCCCTCAGGCAGTGCCCGAGTTTCCAAATGGTCAGTCCGCCCCTAGAATAGAATATACCTTCCTACCTATTTACTAATGCTAGCAGCATAAGGATTTGGAATAGTCAATGTTGAGAGAGAGGGATTCATGAAGTTACAATTTAACCAAATCCAGACAATCAATTGTATCCTTCTCCCTTACGTTAACCTCTAGGGTCCTGTCACACTTGCAATCCTGCTGCTGGAGAGAATTCGCCGGCGACATGATCGCTATGCATGTCAAAGCAGGGTAAGAGAAATACTCACCCACTGCCATGTGTCATTGCCTTCCTAGGCGGCTGAGTAAGCTTTTGCTCCCTTGTAGGTGACTGACAATCTCCAGTGTTTCTGTCAGTGAGGAAGCCACATCGTACTCATCCAGACGGTGAAGGAGCAACACATGGAAGTAGATGCACATTATCTCTGCAGTTTTCAGCAAACCTGTTACTAGAAAATTCTTGCCAATGACTTGCCAGTAAATCTAAGGCTTACTATACCCTAACCAGGGGTGGACTGAGAACTCATGGGGCACCCGGGCAATAGGGGATCATGGGGCCCCTGTGTCCTTGCCCACACTCAAAAAAAGACTATAAAAAAGGTACCAGGGGCATTTCATGGGGCCCCCTACTGACCCCGGGCCCTCGGGCAGTACCCGACTGCTCGAATGGTCAGTCCGCCCCTGACCCTAACTCATAACCATCCTTAGCCTAGATAAAGAATCTCTTAAACTTTTGGACTGATATTTATCTTACTGGATACTTTTTTAGTGCTGATGCAATTTGTAACCAGTTTGGCCAGGAAAAGTGGCAAAATGATGTGAAATCACAGCACCTATCCCTTCATTGCCCTCCAAAGGCTTTGACATAGATCACTAAAATGGCTCTGAAATAGAACAATACAATGGTACTGACACAGAGAATAAAATGGCCCTGACATAGAATACTATAATGGTTATGACATAGCATAATATAATGGCTCCGACACAGAGCAAAATGGTGGAACTGACACAGAGCAATGCAATGGCTATGACATAGATTAATACAACGGTGTTGACATGGGGGAACATGGTGCTGACACAGAGTACCATAATAGCTCTGACACAGAGTACTACAATAGCTATGACATAGAGAAATTCAATGGTGCTAACATACAGCCTTACAATACTCCTGACATAGAGTACTACAATGGCTTTGATGCACAGTAGTACAATGGTGCTGACATAGAGAAATAAAACGGGAGTGACATAGAGCACTATAATAGTTCTGACATACCGCAATAATGCAATGGTGATAGTAAAGAAAAAAAATATGGTGCTGACATAGAGTACATAGGCTATAGGCTATAGGCTATGACCCAGAACGCTGCAATGGCCCTGACACAGATCAATAGAAATGGTGCTGACATCGAGAAATGAAACGGGGGTGACAGAGAGCACTATAATAGCTTTGACATAGAGCACTACAATGGCTCTGACATAGAGCCATTCAATGGTGCTGACCAGGGTTTTTTTCTCAGAGAATAGATACAAGAACTCCCCCCTTCCGAGTCACCCCTTGTCTCTGGTCCCTACCCTTTGGTTCCACCACCTACCCACCTACCAGTACCACTTCTTTTAGTATACTGAATACAGAATCAAGTATCATTTTGTGGTGTTAAGTCATTCAAATTTTTTAATGATAACATAAAAGCAGTAAAATAGATCAACTGATGCCATCAACAAAATCACCCCCAGCAACAAAATGACACCCCCCCAGCAACAATAGATACACTCCAGAAACAATAGACCACCGCTAGCTACAATCGATCTCCCAGCAGTCAGCAACAGACCCCTCCCTCAATGGTAGATCCCCCCAGCAACAATTGACCCTTCAACAATAATAGACTTTTCCCACCCAGTGACAATAGATCCCCCACCATCAGTAGACCCTCCAGTACACCCCAGCACCCCTTGCCATTTCATACATCCCCCGCATTTCCCCCCGCGTTCTCGCAAAAGCAAATACAAATGCTGTGACATACTGTAGAGTACTATAATGGAGTTAACATAGAGAAATACAATGGCACTGACATAGAGCACAACAATGGCGCTGACCAGGGGCTGACTGACAACTCATGGGGCCCCCGGGAAATAGGGGACCATGGGGCCCCTGTGTCCTCGCCCACACAAAAAAACACCCAAAAAAGCCTATGAAAGGTACCAGGGGCATCTCATGGGGCCCTTACTGACCCCGGGCCCTCGGGCAGTGCCCAAGTTTCCGAATGGTCAGTCCACCCCTGGCGCTGACATAGAATACTACATAGGCATCGACATAAAGCAAAACTTGTGCAGTGGAGTTCACAAATGTCTGGTATCTCAGGTTCTAAACAGATGTGGATACTTTTACACATTTGTGAAGTTATTAGCACTTGCACATAATGTAACATTTTTGTTTTTAGCTATCGTAATCCTTTAATCATTTTGCAGAATGCAGCCTGCTTTCTTTCTTCTTCAGCTCCGCCGCCTGTAACTCCTGACCTTTCCATCTTGCGGTAACCTATTTCCTCTTAAAAGTTGACTGATCAGGAGGAGATATGCCATCCTATCCTGAGCTGTCTCTGCTTCTTAGAGCTCCATTGGCAGCACGCCCGGGAGGGGGCTGTCATTGTCTTTAAGGGTGATGAGCTCAGAATGGGCAGCAGATGTGCCTACAGTCTGGGACATCAATAAACTGAAGGCACTCAGGGGTTTCCTAAAACCACAACAGGCTTTATTCAAGCTATAGTCTCTCTTCAATGCGAGGAAGGAACCAAACCAATCCAGGTGTTCCCCGCATCTTCATGCATACTATGAAAGGATTACAAGGATTTCCTCCGGGCCATGGTGACTTTTACAGTTTCACTTGTTGAGGCCTGCCCTCTCCCCCTCCGCTTGTTTGCATGAGTGCACAAACCACCAATGGATTTTTCTCCCCCTGCTAACTCAGAATAAACTAACTGCCTGGCTGGATTTAATGACATGAAAGTTCCTTTAATGTATTTAGAGAAGACTGGCTTGGCTTTAGTAGAGCTGACATACCTAGTAACATCCCTCTAAATGTACTTGTACGTGGACACAAATGGTCAATCAATACGCATAACTCTAATTATTTGAGTTGGTGACATGTATTGTAGGTACAAAGATCTTATCAAAAAGTCAGATTAAAAATATATTGGACCAGATATTTTAATTAGTTTGTGGTCAACATACTACAATGTATGGTAATGCCTACCAATGGGGTCAAGTTACTTGATGCACATGTTGGGGGATTGCCAGTTCTTTTTGCTTTTTGTGTGTCAATTGTTCCTCTGTGGTATGTATATTGATATTACAACTGTCCTGACAGCGGCTTACAAATAATGATTGATAATGATGACGTTACACCTCATCTTAATATAATATATCATATACAGTCAGGTCCATAAATATTGGGACATGGACACAATTCTAACATTTTTGGATCTATACACCACCACAATGGCTTTGAAATGAAGCGAACAAGATGTGCTTTAACTGCAGACTGCCAGCTTTAATTTGAGGGTATTAACATCCAAATCAGGTGAACGGTGTAGGAATGACAACAGTTTGCATATGTGCCTCCCACTTGTTAAGGGACCAAAAGTAATGGGACAGAATAATAATCATAAATCAAACTTTCACTTTTTAATACTTGGTTGCAAAACCTTTGCAGTCAATTACAGCCTGAAGTCTGGAACACATAGACATCACCAGACGCTGGGTTTCATCCCTGGTGATGCTCTGCCAGGCCTCTACTGCAACTGTCTTAAGTTCCTGCTTGTTCTTGGGGCATTTTCCCTTCAGTTTTGTCTTCAGCAAGTGAAATGCATGCTCAATCGGATTCAGGTCAGGTGATTGACTTGGCCATTGCATAACATTCCACTTCTTTCCCTTAAAAAACTCTTTTGGTTGCTTTTGCAGTATGCTTTGGGTCATTGTCCATCTGCATTGTGAAGCGGCGTCCAATGAGTTCTGAAGCATTTGGCTGAATATGAGCAGATAATATTCCCGAAACACTTCAGAATTCATCCTGCTGCTTTTGTCAGCAGTCACATCATCAATAAATACAAGAGAACCAGTTCCATTAGCAGCCATACATGCGCACGCCATGACACTACCACCACCATGCTTCACTGATGAGGTGGTATGCTTAGGATCATGAGCAGTTCCTTTCCTTCTCCATACTCTTCTCTTCCCATCACTCTGGTACAACTTGATCTTGGTCTCATCTGTCCATAGGATGTTGTTCCAGAACTGTGAAGGCTTTTTTACATGTCGTTTGGCAAACTCTAATCTGGCCTTCCTGTTTTTGAGGCTCACCAATGGTTTCCATCTTGTGGTGAACCCTCTGTATTCACTCTGGTGAAGTCTTCTCTTGATTGTTGACTTTGACACACATACACCTACCTCCTGGAGAGTGTTCTTGATCTGGCCAACTGTTGTGAAGGGTGTTTTCTTCACCAGGGAAAGAATTCTTCGGTCATCCACCACAGTTGTTTTCTGTGGTCTTCCGGGTCTTTTGGTGTCGCTGAGCTCACCGGTGCGTTCCTTCTTTTTAAGAATGTTCCAGACAGTTGTTTTGGCCACGCCTAATGTTTTTGCTATCTCTCTGATGGGTTTGTTTTGTTTTTTCAGCATAATGATGGCTTTCTTCACTGATAGTGACAGCTCTTTGCATTTGGAATCTGTTGCTGTCAACTCTCAAGATGAGATCCAAATAGCACACTTGAAATGAACTCTGGACCTTTTATCTGCTCATTGCAATTGGGATAATGAGGGAATAACACACACCTGGCCTTGGAACAGCTGAGAAGCCAATTGTCCCATTACTTTTGGTCCCTTAACAAGTGGGAGGCACATATGCAAACTGTTGTAATTCCTACACAGTTCACCTGATTTGGATGTAAATACCCTCAAATTAAAGCTGACAGTCTGCAGTTAAAGCACATCTTGTTCGTTTCATTTCAAATCCATTGTGGTGGTGTATAGAGTCAAAAATGTTAGGATTGTGTCCATGTCCCAATATTTATGGACCTGACTGTATGATTCCCAAAGACCTTTACATAGGCTATCCTCCCTTTAGTCCATCATGAATGCTGCTCATCCATCTTGCCAACCGTTCAGTGTCTGCCAACCCTCTCTGCCATTCCCTCCACTGGCTTCCACTCACCCATCAAATAAAATTCAAGGTACTAACAACAACTCACAAAGCCATCCACAACTTGGCCCCCAGCTACATCACTAGCCTGGTCTCAAAATACCAACCAAACCACTCTCTTCGGTCTTCCCAGACCTCCTGCTCTTTAGTTCCCATGTTCCTATGGAACTCCCTACTCCAATCTGTCCGACTGTGTCCTAATCTATCTATCCACCTTTAGACTATCCCTGAAAACCCTTCTCTTTAAAGAAGCCTATCCTGCTTCTAACTAATGCACTGTGTTTTTACTTTTTTCATCAGCTCATCCCCCACAGCTATTACCTTTTGTATCACTCAACCCTTCCTCCTAGATTGTAAGCTCTAATGAGCCGGGCCCTCTGTTTCCTCTTCTACCAAATTGTATTGTAACTGTAATGTCTGCCTTCATTTTGTAAAGCACTGCACAAACTGTTGGCGCACAAAATAAATCCTGTATAATAATAATAATAA